AAGGAAACTATCCCTGTGTTATCAACACTGTTCCCAGCACAAGCACGAAACATAGCCCCATACAAGCTCCTGTGAAGAAAATTCATCTAGCCAAAATCAGCACACTTCTCAATAAAAATCTGAAGTGGTTTTTCAGCCTGGGACTAACTTTTACAAACAGCAAACTGACAGTTTTCCCAAGTCAAATATTTTGTGTACCTGTTGGAGCTTCGTTCCTCGGTTCTGCACTACCACCTAAGATTTCCATAGGGAAAGCTTTTCATGTTGCAGGTTGCACTTCATTAGAATGTATCTGATCCATTTCCCAGAAAGTGTGAGTTGAATGTCATGCTGTATTATTCTCTAAAAGAGAAAGTAAACTTTAACTATTAACAGAAGATGAAAATGTATCTGCAAGGTTGCACCTTCCTATTCCACGCAGCTGTGCAAATGGAAGAGAAACAAAACCTGTGCAGGTAATCAGGCTGCTGCCTGGAGCTGTCTGGCTGTGTTACAAGCATGCCTTCTACAAAGGAAGGTGAGGGCTTTGGGTTCCTGAGAAATTGTTCACACAGGCACGTTAACCCTGGATTATACTGACAAAACTAACCCAATTATAAAAATTCTTTAGCCTGAGGAAATTTCTTGCATTGCAGTTGGTAAGTCAGTATGACCTTCCTGAGGAACCAAGAATCCCACAGAAAAGAAATGCCTCAGTTGTTCTCTTGCTGTTGTGACCTACAGCGAGAGACACTTAGTCTTTTTACATTGGCTATGCTGTTCTGCTTTAGAACCTGTCGACCTTGCAGTGGCTCATCACTGAGACACGACTCTTACACTGCAGTAGCCTCCAGTCTCCGTTTAGGAGAAGAAAGAGGCTTCCCAAGACCTCATTTTATTTGACAGCAATTTATTAAACTTGATGTGATTCATTTCTGTACAAAAGCCCAGCTGAAATACAAAATAATTCTATTATTTCCTTTTCCTGTGTAACTTAGATCAGCAATAAAAAGCACGTGCTTCAAATAAATGAGTTCTCTTCTGTTTTATGAAGCTACATGACTTTGCCAATCCCAGGAGAGTTGCGTGAGCTTTTAGGATAATGCAGTGGGGTCAGTCTGATGTGAGTTTTTTTTCTCTTGCCATTAATATAAGCTGGAATTCAACTGTTTATTCTGTAAATGCCAAGAATATGTATCCTGGATATGACTGCCTCATGTCAGTGACAAACATGTGCCAGAGGAACTGCCATTTCAGTGATGCTGAGTGGTACTGTAGTCACTGGCTTTTAGTAAAATGAAAATGAGGCTTTTTTCTGTCTTGGGAAATCCTGCTTTGAATTGTGGTGTGGCAAGTGTACAGAACTGCCTTCTGATTACAGCTCCAGACTATGGCAACTTGCTGTTCTTTCATGCCAAGAATAAGCTAATACCATTGTCTAATGCTTCTAGGAGTTGGTAGGAGATGTGTGTTGTTGACATGTTTTTGATGAAGCTTAGGACCTTCCACACTAACCTCTCAGGAAAACAAAACAAAAACAAAAACAAACAAACTTTAAAAAACAACAACAACAACAAAAAAACCACACAAAAAACCAAAACACAACCACCTGAGTGTGAGTTAAGGGGACTGGGATGGCACCAACTGATTCAGTGTGTGTGCTTCCAGTCATGTGGCATATCTGCAGCCGTGGATTCAGATTTGCTCCTGTCATGTGTTAAAGGCAATTCTGCCTCCATGTAGATAGAATCATAGAATCATTTTGGTTGAAGAAAGCCTTTAAGAGAGTCAAACCATTAACCTAATAGTACAGACTGCACCATGAACCCATGTCCTGCAGCACCACATCTACATGTATTTTGAGTACTCCCAGGGATGGCGACTCCACCTCCCTGGGCAGCCTGCTCCAATGCTCGATAACCCTTTCTGCTAAGAGCTTCTTCCTGACATCTAGTCTAAACCTCACCTGGCACAGATTGAGCCCATTTTCTCCTATTGCTTGTTATTTGGGAGAAGAGACCAACCCCCACCTCACTACAACCTCCTTAAAAGCAGTTGTAGAGGGTGATAGTCTCTATTCATCCTCTTCTTCAGGCTAAATTTTCTACACCTAAACTTCGTATTTTGTTGTAGAGCTGTAGGCTGTATTTACTGCATCTAGTTCATACAGCATCTTCTTTTGTTAAAAGTTCTCAAGGGAACTGGCTGAAAATGCAGATAAAATGCAGCCTGTGTTGCTAGTCAACTTGTCAAGTTGGAGTGTGTCCTGTACACCAGTGTTTTCAGTAGTCTGCCTGATAAGAGTAACTAGCTGCTCAAGAAGTAAATTGTAGCCCATAGATGCTTGTTCTAAGGCTTAGCTAAACGTTAAATATTCTTTCAAAAGTAAATCCTTTTCTTCTCTTGCAGGGTACTCTTGCAGACTTATTTCCCAGACTATGTCTCTCATCCTGGTCAATGAGGATTCACTTGATGTAAGTAAACAAATTTTGGTGTGACTTGCTTTCTGTTTTTAGGCAAGTCTCTTATTTTTCTCTTGAAATATGGAAAGCGGAGGCCTATGACAGCTGGTTTTGATTCCTTAGATGCTGTGTGATGTTAGAAGTGCAGCTTTTGCAGGAACTCCTTATGAGACCTTATCTCCTCAGCTTGATCTGATTGCAGTTGATGGGCTGGGTATGAGGGTTCTGGGGAAGGCATGCTGACAGTCTTCTTACCCTGCCTTTTGAGTCCTTTTCAGAGGGTTGGCTGCCTAATTAACAGCTTCATTTACAGCCCCTACCTCAGTATATACACTAAATGCTAAACTTAATGTAGCAAAGTGAAACCTGTTCTTAGCACAGATCTACAGAAGCAAAAATGGCTGCCAGAGAGAATTAAACTAGAAAAGGAAGGAAGAATGTAAGGTACAGAAAATACTGGAAGACAGGAACTGGTATAGTCCCAAGAAAGTATAGAAGGAATCTTCTGTTATGAAACACTGGAAGGTTTATTTTAATTCCTATCTGTACTTAGCGTATGCACTATTAGGTTTTTGTATACTCAACTATTTCCCAAAATCTAGCCAAGAGGTATGAAGAAAATGCAATACAATATGGGGCCTGAACTGGGATAAAATGTCATTGACCAAAGCATCTCTTTGCACTTTCCAATGTGCCAGCTTTGCAAATCCTGCAGAGTGCTGAGACTTCACTTGGAAAAACAGACAGCACTCCCATGGAAAGAAATTCCTTCATGAAGTTGGAAGAGGCTAAATACCCCTTTCCCCATCAAAAGGAGGGTATGAAAGGCAGGATTGACAGACTTACCCACCCACCTGCTAAATCTTGAATCAATGGCCTGGTTTCAGATTGAAGTTTTCAGCATCATTGACTGGGGGAGGACAGGAATGAACAGTCATTTCTGCTGTTTAGGAGATGGAGACTAGAATCAAGTGTGCAATAGTAGGGCAAGCAATTACTTTAACTTCTGAACTTTTTGAAAAGTAAACATCATGGTCTCCTAAAGTATTTTGTTGACTACTTGGAGTGGAGCTGGGAGTCTGGAAAACTGAATATAGAAGTATATCTTTTTTTGCAGTGATACAGAGTAAAAGTTAATCTGTGCGTATTAACTCTACAGCAGTAACTTTTAATTTCTAGAAACTAGACTTCTTGCACAACTGTACTACAAATGAGAAAATTGGTACAGATTTCAAATAAGAAATTAATTGAGAAGTTGAATGGATTGAATGGTTTAGGAAGACTTGGGGTTACATTAGTCTTCATGATGCAGGTTAAGACAAGGAGAAATTACAAAAAATACCAGTAACTTTTTATTAACAATCTGTCCTCATATTGTGTTGAAATATTGGCAAGCTTATGTAATAGACAGTATCCACTATGAATGCCAATCAAAGGTATATTGGCAGATAGACTCCATGGTGATAAAGGGACTCACTGATCACATGTAAAACATAGCAGGAGACTCCAGTAATACTTCTGTATGTGAGTGCCAGAAAGCACTTTGGATAGATGGGGATGTGAAGCTTCTTTTAGGACCCTTGAAGACTCTGTCTTGAAAGGGTGTGGAGGGATGGGGGGCTTTCAGACT